TCAGGAGATGTCCGGTTTATGTTATGATCCGTGGCTCGGCTGCTCCACCCACCGTATGACGTATATGCAAATTTACAAGCCCGAATCTGGCCGGTAATGTGAGGGCGCTTACACTCATGGCAAGTCTGTTGGGATTTCGCGGTCACGACTTTCGCGTTCATCCCTCATTTACGCAATTTATTCTTATTTTTCAAGATTTTCATCGGAATCGCAACAGACAGCAAGCAAGTCTATGCTTTGCGGTGGAGGGTTAGCCTGACATGTAGGCGTGAGTGGCGCCCTCCGGTCGAACGGCATCAGACCCCACTGTGTTGGGTTTGGAACACTGCAGAGGGCGCAACTCACGCGACCATGTTTAGGTATTGCTCTAGTTTAGGTATTGCACTGGAATGTAACACCAAACTTCATAAATTATCTTTACCCCACCGATAGAATCAATGAACATGTGCTATTTCATGTGCCTAAAATTGCTGCAACAAAAGAATTTTACGATTAGGAATTTGACATTTTCAATGTTTTCTCCCAGTCTGAGGTAATAATAATTCCTATATATTAATATTGGCACCATGTTTGTTAAAACGCCGTTGTTCTTATTCACATACAACCCTCACGAGATGAATGGAGGGCACGTGAACGACAAGGTGTGCTTGCAATACATTTGCTGTATTCTAAATATTTATGGAGAACAAAAAAACAAATTGTGTTTCAAAATCTGTATTTTACGTAACTTATAAAAGTTGGACCTTTAAGAGTCGCATATCCTTGTATATCGTTGCAGCAAATTATAATTAAACTCTTACAGTTGCTGCTAAGATCGGGCGTAAAGCTCAGTACTGTTACTTCTCAGTGTCCGCATAAATGAGTGAAAATCCCTTACCGGGGATTCCCGGTGATCGAGTGGAAGATACACCGCGACGGACATGGCTCTCGTTCTTGTCCTCAACAAAAAAATAAACAAGTGCACAATTATTAAGTTTATAATGATCCATGTCCTATTTTAGGTGGGGTGCTCTCTATTGTTCACATTCCAAATAAATATTTTCCGATATTGTGTTTGAAGCAAAGCGTGTTAAAGTCTCAAAAACAAGTCATTGTCTTACATCCCGGTCTCGCTGCGACACTTGCTACCACGAGAATCCTGTTGAGTTGAAGCATATATACAAGGCAGAATTTGATAGGTCGAACAATGCTGTTAACATACAAGCTGTTCCCTGATTGGTTGCTCTGGTTGAAAACAAATACTACCTACTAATCAATTGCTCTCATTTATTGCGTGGCTTTATGTGGGTAGTAAAAGACGCACATCGCTATAAAACTACGACGCTCGTCGTCGTAAAACACGACCTTTTTGCGGCATCCGACGGTTACCACACATTGAAGTAAAACAAAATATATACCAGTACCCTGGTGGGTGATTTGGTAGGTAAACAACATGGCATGTCAGTATGAATTTAAACTCGCTTCGTTGTTTTTGTGTGAAAATACATTTCCTCGCATAATTATATGTAATTGGGTTTAGTTTCCGATTATAGAGATTCCACAAATAAACATCGAAACGTGATTTGACCATTTTTATCGGCGATTTGCAAGCAAGAATGATGAGTGTTGTGGGTGTAACAACACAACTTTGGCGTTGCAATGCAAATAAATCACTGCAGATAATGCGTTATTTTTTCCCACTGATACTCGGAGGAATACCTTGTTTAATCCTTAACACATTCATCTTGGGCGTGATTCAAATTCTGACGGTAATGATTCGTGACGTCGAAAACTGGAAATACACGTGTTGACATGTTGACATTGGCTGGTTCCCGCCTCATGTGTCATGGCGCGCGCGCCTACTTGTCCTCGCAACGGACGCCGGGAACCAGCGAACATGTTGACATTGGTGAAGCAGTGTGAAACCAAAGTGAATATAACAGTGCATGATTCGCTGTATTGCATCACGTGATGCAAGTGATATTTACATATGATTCATGTAACAATTAGACGATGTTGGATGTGGCCGCATTTCGTAAGACTATGTGCTGAACAGTAGGGGGCAAGGGGTATAGCTGGTACAGGTTACAGGAAATAAAACATGCATTTTACGTTTTTACGGGAAATAAAATGGAAAGTTTCATTTACAGTAAAAAATAGTGTCTTACACTTAACAGATAAAGCAAATTTCTAATTGCGTTTTACATTTTTATAATATGTGTTTATGAATTAAAATTGGAAATTGCGCACGAATTACGACTTTTAAAGCAGGGGAGTCGTCACCTGCGCATGCGTCAGATGGTCATAGCGTGTCATTGTTTACAAACAAGCGTCTACCCATGAGCTTTGCGTTTTTAGCGTGTGTTGTTATCGTCGCTTGGGACTCAATTCCCGCGCGTGCGCAGGTGACTACCCTCCCGCTTTAATGTTGAAAATGCTTTCTACGTTTACAAAAAGTACGATCTTTGTACAAATTACGGACGAATAAAATAGCTGATTACATTTTACACCTTGCTCATGTCTACGAATGTACGTTTTTTATTTATTTGAATTACATTATTACGAAAATAAAAACAGTTGATTACAGCTTACGGAAATACCCCTTGCCGACCGAACAGTATTTACCATAAATCCGAAGCTGTTACTAGTACACATTTGGTAAAACTACATGTGATTGGGTGCCACGTGAAAGTGGCCTCAAAACGTGAATAAAACACAGTAGGGTTGAACCCGTCTATCCACTGAACTCGTCGAAATGTTAGTTTGCGTCACGGACGCGGCGCGTAAGAAAGAACATTGCAACCATTGGGTATTTGGGGTTAGAAGGCGGCAGTCGTCGTGCCGCGTCTTGTGGGACTCATAGCGACGTACACAACGCGTGTAAAATAAATTGTTTAAATTCGAGACGACTACCGCCCTTTAAGCGAGATGCATGAGAAAGTCATTTTTCAAGTTTTACATACTCGCTCGTAAACCCGAAACCTGAGCCAATCCTCAGAACTCAATCGCACACACAGCGATAATCGACACCATCCCTTTTGATAAATTCAGTCCATTGAGACGGTTTTAGATTAACCAATGTCGCTATCAGGAAACTAAACGAATAACCTCGCATTACCGAATTACAGGAGCAAATCTGCGCTGCCGCTTGATGTATATACCTAACATTCAACTGTCTTATTTTGGTATTAATTAGTTCTCTAATACCAACACTATGATAAAGACTTTCCG